ATTTAAACACATTTGCTAATCACCAAAACCTTGATAGACATGTGTAGGAGCCCTTTGGGAGAACAGGGCAGCAAGGATAAAATGAATTATGGTGTAATAATGTAACAAATGTTACCTCAAATTGTTAGAATTAAAAGGTTATCTTTAATATTTAATATTTTCCTTTCCCCCCCCCTTCCCTACTCTTCTTACTAAGTAATCAATACTAGAATCAGTTTTCCAAAGAAGTAATGAAAGAGAGAGGAAACAAACAGAATATTGATGCATTCCTTGCAATTAAAAAATGGATTTGGTTTTCCCAAAAGCTCCCACTGAAATAGATTTGTGACTCTTTGAAAAGCCACAATGTTTTGCTTTCTCTTTCTCTCTTTGTTCCCTTTCCTTTGTTCCTCTTTAATTTTGACAACCTACCAGAATTCAGACTCGCTGAGAGAGACTGAAAGGGAGAAATGCACTCTGCATTGTAGCCTTAAGTAACCTGAGGGCATTTGGTTTCTCAGTTCTTGAAATAGAGGGTGTAAACATCAGTTTCCCTAATAATGAGGGAACGGTTTTCTACCAGTGGGCAAAAGGGATTTTCACTTTCACCGTGAGATCACCATTATGTTAATGTGTCAAAGAAAACAAATGGAAAAATCCATGTTGAGTTACCTTTCCTTCTTTGTGACACTTATGATTATACAACGGGTTTCCCTTCCTTTATTGTGAGCAAATGCAGGAAGATAAAATGCAAGTAAGGTCATCAGGCGCTGCTTAATTGTGCTGGAACCAGTTGTGCTACTTGAGAATCGTTGCACTGTTTTAATTATTGATAACACCGCTGTGCTAAATGGGGCACTGTAGTATATTTTTAAGACATAAATCAAGTCTTTGATGAAAGGGCGTCTCGTGACATCACCGCTTTGGCTGTTAAGTTCTTGCTGAGAAATTGGAGGGGGGGAGAGGCTTCTGTGTTAGCTGTCTGAATCAGTGTTCAAAATTAATTTCCACGCTAAAAGCCTGTACAGTAAACCATTTAAGCTGCGATCCTTAGCCAGTCTCTGCTAAATAAGTGAGTTCTTTAAGAGGCCACAGTCCTAACACTACATGAGCTTTTTCAAACAAAGTGAAAGGCTAGAGGGAAGATACAACAATAGTTGTTTTGTGGGACCACAATTAATCTATAGGCTGGAATTTTTTTTAAAAAAAGCTCTGTGGTTGAAATAAAAGAAAAGCTCTGTGGGCTCGTACAAAATCCAAAAATAAAGATGCATTTATTAGATTATTAAAAATACTAATCATGTGCTCTCAGGTCAATTGTGACTTAACGGTGACATTTTCCAGGTAGAGATATTCAAAAGTGGTTTCCCATTCCTTTCTTCTGGGGGCATCCTGGGACTTTGCAGCTTGCCCAAGGCCACACAGTCTGGATCTACTCACAGGAAGCACAGTGAGGTATCAAACTCCCAAACTTCGGCTCTGCAGCCAGATACCTAAACCATTAAGCTACTCAGCCAGCTTATTAGGCCACTAGAATATCAATAATGAGGGAACCGTTCTCTACGAGTGGGCAAAAGCGATTTTCACTTTCACTGTGAGATCACCATTATGTTAATGTGTCAACGAAAACAAATGGAAAAATCCATGTTGAGTTACCTTTCCTTCTTTGTGACACTTATGATTATACAACGGGTTTCCCTTCCTTTATTGTGAGCAAATGCAGGAAGATAAAATGCAAGTAAGGTCATCAGGCGCTGCTTAATTGTGCTGGAACCAGTTGTGCTACTTGAGAATCGTTGCACTGTTTTAATTATTGATAACACCGCTGTGCTAAATGGGGCACTGTAGTATATTTTTAAGACATAAATCAAGTCTTTGATGAAAGGGCGTCTCGTGACATCACCGCTTTGGCTGTTAAGTTCTTGCTGAGAAATTGGAGGGGGGGAGAGGCTTCTGTGTTAGCTGTCTGAATCAGTGTTCAAAATTAATTTCCACGCTAAAAGCCTGTACAGTAAACCATTTAAGCTGCGATCCTTAGCCAGTCTCTGCTAAATAAGTGAGTTCTTTAAGAGGCCACAGTCCTAACACTACATGAGCTTTTTCAAACAAAGTGAAAGGCTAGAGGGAAGATACAACAATAGTTGTTTTGTGGGACCACAATTAATCTATAGGCTGGAATTTTTTTTTTTAAAAAAAGCTCTGTGGTTGAAATAAAAGAAAAGCTCTGTGGGCTCGTACAAAATCCAAAAATAAAGATGCATTTATTAGGTTATTAAAAATACTAATCATGTGCTCTAGGGTCAATTGTGACTTAACGGTGACGTTTTCCAGGTAGAGATATTCAAAAGTGGTTTCCCATTCCTTTCTTCTGGGGGCATACTGGGACTTTGCAGCTTGCCCAAGGCCACACAGTCTGGATCTACTCACAGGAAGCACAGTGAGGTATCAAACTCCCAAACTTCGGCTCTGCAGCCAGATACCTAAACCATTAAGCTACTCAGCCAGCTTATTAGGCCACTAGAATATATATTTAAAAAGTCTGCATGTCCTACAAAATTCTTCTTCAGGCTGCTCCCCCATCTCTACAATGCCTAGTTTGGTGTGAGATGCTGTGATCAGGGTTAAAGTCCTTTACTCCTTTCGATGCATTTGTCTGTAAAGGAGGCGATGGTAGCCCAAAAACTTCCAACAAAACAGGTTTATTATCTAACAAGTTATGAGTCTCAAACATGTTTGCATTATTCGGTTCCGCTTTTAACAAGTCGTATTTCTTAACTTCCAGCAAACCAGGTAACTCTCCTTGCAACAAAAGAGGAGATGAACTTTTAACTCTAGGTGTCCAATTCTGCCTAGTGCCCGAGGTTGTCCGGCATATTGCTGTCAGGGCTATGGTTGTGGATGGTACACCCAGACCACCTTCGGCTCCCAGACTTTCTTCCCCTTGTTCTGTCTCAGTGGTGATCTGAAAGGACTGAGCCCACGGGATCTCCCAGTTGGCACCATACATCACACTCACCTGTTTCTGATACTCCACATCTAATACAGGCACGACCCTATGACTCTGGCAGCCTAATCTGACAAGCTGATTTGGTTATTTTTGGCCAAGTCCTATCATTTGGCAGCTACTGGGTTGAAGAAAGATTTAGTTCTCTATTTCGTTTACTTTTGTACATGGAAGAGAAGAGGGTCACTCACAATGTTATCCCTTGCTAAAGCCAACAAAATGTTTTGGTCCAACCCTGCATGTACACCCACCTCCATTTTTTCAAGTATAGGTGTAAGATGAAGCTCAAAATTAACAAATATGTGCATATGGTCTTGAATCAGAATCTCAGGCTAGAGAAGCACCTACAAATTAATCCATGTGTCCTTGAATCAAATTTCATTAAAAAACAACAAGAAACAACAACCCTACAGGCCTCTTTTCCAAGAACCCTACTACCTTCCATTAGTTTGGAGAAAAAAGCATTTTGTGGTCAAAATCAACAATGACAGTTAATTTCCTCCAGGCTTTTTGGTTCAAAAGAAAATTCTGCACAAGCACTTAAATCTGCTTCCCTTTGGCCAGTCTTCAGATAATTAGTACTATTCCAGTATGCTAGGACAAAAAAAGGCATTTCAAGTACAATCGGTTGAGCATTCTTCGTTCTGGGCTGTTTTTGTTACTTAAATAAAAATACACAGAAAAAATAGCAGAGATGTGGAGACAGTGGGCTCAATGAAAAAGCTAATTCCATTCAGAATAGATAGAGTGAATCAAGTAGATGTTGGTAAGTCATCTCTTATATAGAAGTCATATTGATTCAGTAGATCTACTCTAGCTGGAATTAACAATTGGATTTAGCAGAGCATTACTATTCTGGCAAAAGCATACTGTGTATGCTGAATGTTTGTTTGTGTTTATTTCTACAAAGAAAAGGGCCTCTAGACACTTCGTCCTACAACATTTCTTCCTTAAATTGAAGAATGGTTAGAGACCATGGGACGGTGGACCGTGATCCTCCTACTCTATGCAGGTCTGGCTGTTCGTCTTGCCAGTAAAGTAGCAGGGATGGAGATTCATGACTCGCTGTCCAATCTGACTTGAGTTGCACCAGCAGCTCAACTCAGACTCAATTTGGGGGCAGACTCAGACTTAACTTGTGGCTCGGAGCCATTTTTCCAAGTTGCGTTTTGAGTCCCTAAGGGATGGTCTTCCCTACCTGCCACTGCCACCATCATCCTCAGAGGCAGCAGGCTAGCTTCCCTTCTAGGAACCGGATGCTGCCTCTGCCCATGCACCCACTGCCCAGCTGATAGGCTGGTGCATGTGCAGAGACAAGATCTGGCTCCGAGAAAGGGTTGGCCTGTTATCTCTGTGCATGCGCTGGCCTATCAGATGGGCAGCGCATGAGTAGTCCGAGTCTTTGAATCTGACTCCCAAGACTCAAGCCTTGGTGGTTGGGGGAGAGCAAATGACTCAAGGCTTAGGATGCAGGTGTGAAGACTCGCCAACATCTGCCTCTAAGTGGGCGGCTGCTGGAGGAGGCAGGGCTGAGAAGCACTGAACACCTGTTTGCCCACTAAACAAACCAGCATGAACCACCAAACTTAGCATCTCTGAAAAGCAAAACAAAGCAAAGTATGGGCAGTTTAATTCAATTATGCAGGCTACACATTCCCTCCCCCCCCCCGCTCCATGAGTTGATGCAGTATCAGAAGGAGGAAAGGCTGAGTCAACCCTGAGCTGGCTACCTAAGCTTGTCTGGATCAAATTAAGAGTGCGGCTACATGGTCATATATGGTGGAGTGTGCTTCGCTTATAAAATGACTGAATTCAAAATATATTTGAATGTGTACATGGCATAAAAAGACTGATTCAGCTTGTTCCAGCCTATTTAATGCCAAAATGCTTTCTCCTTTGCCTGTGCTGCAAAGTAGGATGGCATTTCACACTTGGGACACAACTCATCACACCACTGGGGCTAGAACAAGTATATTCAGTAACTGGCATATTATTCAATAAATGATCACATTGTACATTATATTCAATTTAAATTTTATTTTGAACTTAAGTTGCAGTGCAGTCTCCCATAATGTTCCGTTTTTAAAATTATGAATATTTGTATAACGCTTTTCCGGAAACACACTGTACATGGCAGCATTTTTCACACTGACTGTACACTTTGGGTAAAAATCAAATAGCAACAAGCCAGAAGCAAATGGAAACAATTCGTCTAATTCTGGAACTGCAGCTCATATTGATGAGATGCATACATGGAAGTAGACCGATGGGAATCACCTAAGAAAAATATGTAAGACTTTTCTTTCTAAGGACCCCTACACAACCCCATAGATACTAAAAGTGTCCTTTGGATAAAGAGCTTCTTAAGTCTTGCTTTTCTGCTTTTTTCTGGTTGCTTTTTTCTGCAATTTTGCTGCTTTGTTTTTTTGTGCAGCAGTCTTTTTACTTTCCGGTGGCAGTTTTAAAATTACTTCGTTATCTTCACTATCTTTTGGCTGAGATTTCCGGCGTTCAAGAAATGTGGGTGTACACACTGGAGTTGGATCCTAGACAAGACAGGAAAGGACATGAGTAAATTGTACAGGATCACCAGAGCACTAATAATTTCCATTTAAATAATTATTTAAACTGTTTAACTGTAGCATCTAGAAAAACATGCTCAAGATGGACATTTGATAACATGCCTCCACTTATTTTCCAGGAAGTAACACTGAACAATATTTTCTACTGTATTTGTAACTGAATTCAATATTGTAAATTTACTGCCACCAAGCAGTAGTCTTAGTCAAAAGGTTCAGCCCATCTAACTTGCTTTTTTTAAATAATTAATTTTAAATGTTATTAACATCCATAGTATGAAAATACAAGTTAGAATTGTGGTACAATACTATCATATTACTTATATATTCTTTCAGTAGATTGTCTTTCTTTATATATCCACTAGTTCATATTTTAACATCATTAATTATTTTTAAAATATTACATGCCAGCAATCCAAATTACTTCCCATAGCACATTCTTCTTTTCTTGAAGTAATTCCATATGTTAATAATGGCTGTCAGGTTTCCATAAATTTATCCTGTTTTATTTCCCCTCTATATATTTTAATTTGATTGGTCAGCTTTTCCATCAGGACCATTTGCCAGATTCTGTTCTCAATTTTTTTAACTGAAAGATCTTGAGCATTTCTCCAATTTTGTGCAATTTCAACTCTTCCTGAACCAATAAGATGTGCAATTAGGTCTTTGTTGAATAATTTTTCATTTCCATCCTTAAATATTGAAAATAATAAAAGCTTGATTTAAAGTTTTATTTGATTCAACAATGTTTCTATCCATTTAATTATTTCCCACCAATATGCTTCCCATCCAACTTGCTGACAGCACAGTAAGAAGGGGAGTGGGATTAATGGAGTAAGAAAACTATGTGAAGCATGTAGATTTCTCTAATTCACACCAACACTGTCTTATGGATGTGCAGGGAAAATGTCTCCAATCTTTCCATTTTAACTGGGCTTGTGGGCAAGCAAATTTAAGGAACTTATATTTAGAGGAATGTCCATAAACTGCATAATTTTGGCCCTATAAGGGCACTTCCTTCCATAAAGATAAGCAAGTGACTATATATATTCAGAATACTTTTTGGGTAAACCAGTAACTTAAACTTACCTCACTGTTTACAGAGGCATTCAAACTAGAGGTTGGTTCTGACATCTTTTGTTTCTTTTCTGGAGACAGCTGGGCAGCCTATAGAAAGAGTCTCAGGATCAGTAAAATTATCTTGTCACAAGGCTTTACAACTGTGTTTGGGTTAGTATGTTCTTTTTAAGGTAAGAAGCAAAGAGCTGCACAATCTAACTCAGACTGCAATTGTAAAGGCTGGAATATATCCCAGAGATTGCAGACAGTCACTCTGTACAGTATATGACATGTCTAAGAAATGCCTGTAAGATGTTCTTGTAAGTAAGTGCCAAACTTATTTAAACCCATTCCAACGCAAAATGGTTTCAGTCTTTTGTAGGATATTGGAAATCCAATAAAAAAGGAGGAGTCTTCTTTATTTTAGAAAAAGTATTAGACCAGATAGGTGGCTGGTTGCAGATTTAACCTAAGTTGTTTTAAGTGACCTAAGAAAGTCAAGAGTAAAGTCATATACATTTGCAAAGACTTCAAAGACTTGTAGTACACAAATACAGACACCTGTTGTGTGCACACTCTGAACAAATGTGAGGCTCTCTCTTGGCTGAATAAACTGGTCCTAAGACTCCACTAATTTGATGATAATATTACCTTCTTAATTCTTGCTTTTGAATTACATAATATGCAATTAGCTTGTAAATTAATCAGTACTTTACATATCATCCTCTTTGCTTCCTCTGCTGAACAGTACTCAGGAAAATAAAAGGATACACTTACAAAGCCAGGAAAATCATAATCAATGACCTTTTTTGCCAGTCTTTCCCGCAGATGTCTTTCCTTCCTTAACAACCGCTTCATCATCTTTGCTTCCTCTTTGGGTGTTCGCTCCCGATTATAGCGTTTTACTGCTGGATTCGTTGGCTTTCTGAATGTCCTTTCACAGCCTTTGAAGAGTTTTTCATGCACTTTTTCAGGTGGCATAAACTGGCCTATAATGTGTAAACAATATTACTGTGCAACAAAAGGTTAACATGACAGCCATGGAGGCAGTGTGGCAATGTTCACCAAACTGGGCTTTGCATATTTTAATTGAGAATTTTTTAATACAGTAACATTGCTCAATCCCAAAAATATCATCAAACACGTCCACTGCCATTTAGTCCATTCTTTCTTCAGGTTAGAAGTAAATACTGCTGAATTACATGTTGTACTTCAACATGTAATTCAATCCTAATACGTTAGAAGCACAGATGCTTCCTCGTTTACCCGTCTAGTCCCTGCACTTCTTTAGTAGGTATTTGTTATGACTAATTGCCTTTGCACTCCACCCTGCAATCATACGTTCAAACTGGTTTCTCCAATAATTGTCATGTGTTTCCACCTAGCTCTCACAATAAATGGCTTACCCCAAGAGGAAATAAACTATGGAGGTGAAGGGAGTGAGAGGTGTTGTTACTGTTACTAGAAGACACTACTACACAGTAACTCATTGCAACAGTACACTCATAACCAGGGCTTGAAATTTTTTAGAATGTCTCACCAGTCAGTTAAAAATTTCACCAGTCAGCATGACCGGACTATAGCCTTGCAATTTATCAGGATTTGGAATCACTGTATTATACCCTCAGACTTGGGTTACTTTATTACCAGCGTGCCTGTGGGGTCATGAAACTTGTATTTTGAATGCCTTTCTTTTGAATGTCTCCAACAAAAATACTGTAAAACTGAAAGCAAAAGCACCCGGCCTCTTAAGGAGCCACGGTTTCCTCCCAGCCCAGGATGTGTCCTTGTTTGGTTGAAATTGGAAGCAGGGAATCTCCATGTTCTTCAGCATGGGGCTACTCTACATTCTTCCTTGGAGCTATATCTCTATGTACCACTCAAACTCGCTTCTCGCGAGAAGAGGGCAGTTTTCCTTTTACAATGGGAGGGGGGAGGGGACGACTGCAGGATTAAAGACAGAGAGAGAGAGAGAGGGAGGTGGAAGGGAAGGAGGCAGGCAGGCAGCTGTGACTCCTCAAGCAGCATTTTTCACTTGTCACAGACATGTGGACGAGTGCATTTTTCAGGCCCTGCCCATAACAGACTTCAATGGTTAATCAGGCAAAACTTTTCACACCAGTGAATTTCTAGTAAAAATCCTTAAATGTATGCATCAGTCTTCCTTTTTATTGATGCCAGTCATTTATTTCCATTAGAAATGTGCATTTGCAATGAGTTAACATAACATGAAAACACATTAATAAAATGCTATGTAGAATTACTGCACAAAAACGACATCTCATCTTGCCTACAGTGATATAACAACACACTGCGAAACCTTGATTAAACAACTCGAGGTAAACCATGCAGGAGATCTGCTTTTTGCACTTTTGACCTATTATATTCTAATGAAGGCCCACTTTGGAGTAATTCTAAGTATGGATCCATGATGATATTGTGAAACAATGTAGATAGATGTGTTCAAAAATGACCTAGCTGACCAATCACTTCTTCACATTTCTCAACTACAATCTTAACCACTCTACCATAACATTATTAACCTGATGAAGATTCATACTTTGTTTTTTGTTTTCCTTATGTTTAAAGAGTACAATTCTCTTCAACTAATTAGTCTAGAGCAAGCAAAGGTCATTGAACAGGAAAACATCTTCGTTATAACAGTATGGGACATTGCATTAAATGACAAATTGACTACTGAACAAAAGATGAAAAGAGGGGAAATAGGTTTGAATATTTTTATGTTATTTGGGGTAGATTTATTGAATTTGTATTAGTGAAAGGAAAGGGGAAAGCCTCTAAGCAACAATCAATACAATTTTGGAAAGGATATTTGTAATAAAAGTATTGCTCCAAAGGGTCCCATGGGTATGGGGGTGAACTGTGTTTTAGATTGTTAGGTAGTCAGTATTTTGTATTGTTTTGTATTGATGTATTTGTTTCGGAAAATAATTTTAAGAAATTAAAAAAAGAAAAGAAAAACACCTCTTTTTAAAACATCATTAAAAAAGGGGTGCCATGAACTACATCTTACGTTTGATGGCACATCAAAATGTAGTGGTTGCTACATTGCGACCAGTGTTAAAACACATTGCTTTAGATGAACCCGCCTCACTCTCAAACAGCATACAATTGTGGTAAATGTGTGTATGTCTGTGGGGAGACTGGGATTCTATTAAACAGTCCACAAATTGATGTAATATGGGGCTTGGTTTAGACTGCATAGAGGGCAATTCGTGAATGCAACTTATTATTTCCTTTGAAAGTGAACTTCTACCCTATCACTGTGACCCTCTATGCAAAAGGTGCTCAGGGTGGCAAGCCTACAATAAAGAGACCATGGGGTTTTGTTAATAAATCTCTCTCTTTGGGCCAAAGGGTCTGTGCAAGGAGTGAGTGGCAATGACTCAACAGAAAGGATTGAGGGAGAGATAACTGATACCCAGATGGGGGAAAAAAGCTGAGTAGCAGGCAGGTTTGGGGAAGAATGTTTCAAATACTGAACCTTCCCTATTCCAGTTGTTAGCACTTACTGTGAACAGTTCACTGCAGTATTTTTAGCTCACATGGAACTGAAACACTCAGATTAAGTCAAATGTCTTTCAATTCACAAATCAGGTAGAATTCACATGGAAATTTTCATCTGGGCAACAATCTCACATTCACTCACATTTCAAAATCCGTTCTCCAAAGAGATAGTTGTTCATGGTATCTGCAACAATCTTAGCAACTTCATCATATTCAAATTCCACAAAAGCATAACCTTTGCTACCTCCAGTCTGTTTGAGGCAAGAACAAAAAAAAAATACATTAACATTATCCAAATACAAGACTTCTAAGTTGTGAAATGATTGCAAGAGTTACATAACTATTTTTATTTCTCGCAAATATCCTCTGAATTCTTAAGAAAGTCTGCTAAAATACCTAATATTTTGTGTTTTATTGTAATGCTGCTGTTAATTTGGCAACCAGTGTCTAATCATCTATGCCAGCCAAATTCCATTCATAATTTATGCTTGTGCAACAGAAATCTTATAAGTCATGGTGCCAAGTTGTGGCCAAGACTTACATGATGTACCTCACACAAGTGAAAGATGCTAAGAGGATGCTGGCCATTAACTCTTGAAAGGAAACATGAGCAACTGAAGGAACAGGATTTGTGGCACTGTCCACTTTGAGGACTGACGTGATAAGAATGAGAAGACTTTAGTTAATCTATTTTAAGAACTTTTTAAAGAGTGTTTAGGAAACAACAAACTAGAAATGTTCAATATAGAAAGCTAATAAAACTCTGCTTCTGCAAACTGTTAGGGATATAACTGGGAAAACCAATATTTTAAGAAGTCACCTTTTTACTCCTTGAAAGACGAAGTCTTTTAACTGCCCCAAATTGATTGAAATATTCTCTGAGGTGTATTTCAGAAAGACTCCTTGGGATGTGACCCACATAAATGACACCAGGCGTCACCTTATCATTCTGTAATATGAAATGAAAGGATAAGTTAATTATGTCTGAATTTAAATTCATGTGTATTAGTTTACTTACATTAAACATGTTATGATCTCCCATTTGGACAGCTTGTGAGCATGGGGGAAAAAACCATGTCTCAGGGCATAACCTCTTAACTAAACAATGCAAAGCAACTTTGCAGGAACTCTGAGTCCAGACGCTGCCTGGGTAGACGATCACCCTGAAACCAAAGTATGCTGCCTCTCCAATACAGGATACAAATGTAATGTAGATGGCTGTGTTTTGTGTCATCAAGTTGGAACCAGAAGCCCTAACAGGACTTTCAAATATGTGAGACATTTAAGGAGTGGTTTTATCAGTTCCACTCCCCCATGGCTAAGTGAGGATTCAAACCCTGTTTGACGGAGTCCTAGTTTATCACTATATCCATTATACCACTCTGGGGGAAAAGGTAATAGGCACATATAATCTGGCAAGTCAGTGCAACAGGACCCCTCATCTACTGGATTAGGATCCACAGATTCACGTAACTGCTGCCTGAAAATATTAAATAAAACCTCCCAGTGTATTTACCAGAACTAGCCACTAGAGGGAGGCAGAGACAATGCTATGTATAGTTTCCCTTTCTTCCATGTTTTCCAACGTTGGTAAGGTGGTGGTGGTTGAAGCCAATCACCCACAGATACTGTGGTTCTACTGTAGTTACAGTTGCACAATGGCTATAATCAATAGCAATTTGGGGTAATCATCATAACTTACTCTCTATAGCTGTATTCAAAGTATTAGAACAACTCTTGGTGTGTAGTATGACTAAGGACTGCAAAGTGGTAATCCATATTGTGATATTCTATTGTTTCAGTACTTAGTCGTGTGTGCATTTCTTTGAGGAGAAAATATAGAAATAAAAATTAAAGGTTTTCAAGAACTCTCAAAACATTTTGTCTTAGTTTTGTCTTGTATCATGATGACACTCTGAACCTAAATGCCAGTCAGCCAAAAGTGTGTACTGTGAGGTTAGCAGTGCAGTGGTTAGCAGGGCTGACCTAAGGTATTTCCATGCCTAGGGCAAAGGTCAAAATGGCATACTTTCTCCACATGTAGAAGCTGAGTGAACAAGCAACTGAATCTTATTTCAATGTGGATGATGGGGTTGCATTTTTACTCAAGAAATATGTTACCATAGTCTCTCGAGACTGAAGGATGCCTATGATGATGATGTTTGGTTCAGTGGGTCCAGGACAGGGTGTGTGCTATATATACTACAGTATTCTGTTCTCTAACCAAGAATAACAGCCTGAGAATTCGTTCCTACTGTCATTCTCCAGAACTGGCTACTTGAGACAACTGCTTGATTCGGCCTAAGGATAGAGTGAGGATGCTGATAAGAACAGAACCAGCCACACATCTACAACAGCCGCCTTGGGTCCTTTTGAAGGAGAAAGACAGAATATAAATGTGCTGCTCTTGCAGTACAGTTTTGTAGTACTATTCCAATCTATGAATGAATGCTGCTGTTGCAATAGGTATTTGTAGTACTACCCTGTTTCCCCAAAAATAAGCCCTAGTTAAGTGAACCCCCACCCTCCACCATTGTGCAGCAACCAAAAGATGATATGACTGTATTTGAATAAATGTAGATTGTTGTACATTAAAAAAACATCCCCTGAAAATAAGCCCTAATGCGGGTTTTGGAGCAAAAATTAATATAAGACCCTGTCTTATTTTCGGAGAAACACGGTATTCTAATCTACTGAGGAGACTTATGCCACCCTAGTAGCTAGAACAACTACAGGGGCAAAAAGGGTAGAATTTTTCCTTTCTTTTTCAATAGGTGCTGAAATGTAGTCACATGCAGCTAAACAAGCAAACTAAACACTAGAGATGGGGGTATTTATATACGACTACCCCCGCACAGGAAGTGGGATGAGGAGCCTCCCTGCCAGGTCAAAGAGTGGCTAGTCAATGGCGAGCTCTGGAGCAATAGGAAGGGAGCGCAGAGCCTGCAGCAGCAGCGGAAGGGTGAGTGGACATAACCCATCTCTACTACACACACACACACACACACACACACAAGTGTGAGGAGTGCTCACATTTATGAAATCTCACCTGATTTTTTTAAATAAAAAAAATATATAAAAGTCATATGTACATGTGTGTCTGCGCATACATGTATGTTTCTCTGTGTGTGTACACAAACATGAATCCCAGGGCGGCATAGTAGATGGAGTGACAGCATAGGATTCTGGAGAACTGAATCCCCACCTGGCCACGGAAACTCACTGGGGGACTGGAATAGTAAAACCACTCCTTAAATGTCTCCCTTTACATTGAAAACTGTTAGGACTTGCTGTAAATCAGCTCCAACTTGACAGCACTGAACAATACACATATGTATACATATGTATACATTATACATACACATATACAAATATATGTATATAATTGCTGAACATTTATTTAAACTATTTTACCTCCCTTCTCCTTCAAAGGGATCCAAGGCAGCTTGGATCAGCAGAAAGCAATATTTCTATGTTATAGTACAAATGCAGGAACAGATGAAACCTTTAATTGACTATCAAAAATATAAAAGAAAAAAATAAACAGCAAGCTTTCAACGATAAATCATCTTCTTCAAAAATATGCATCGAGTTCTTTTGGGTACTTCCAAACTTATACGCTGTTATTAATGTCCCAGATTCACACGGCTGATGACGTTGAGGCTTCTGAGATGGAGCCAGTGCAGTAAGCAAGTTGGTTTCAAGCATCTCCTCAGCTAGCAGTTTGGAGTTTATGGCCCATCTCTTAAAGCAGAGGCCAGTGAGGCAATCTTCCCACCACCCCCAGCTCTGCCTTTCTTCCTGCCTTTTTTGAAACTCAAAGCTTTTCTTTTTGACTAGGGGAGGGAAGAGTGTCCTGGAGCATGACCTGTCACTAGCAGAGCTGGGACTAGGAATTAATTGAGTCAAACCACCAGGAACAATCGATTTAAGCCAAATAAATAGTGTCAACCGGGTGGATGATGCTCCTTTCAGTTTGCAGGACTGCTTGTTTGGCGTCAAGGGCCCATGATGTCCGAGAACCCGCGCTGGTCTTCAGCTGATGCCCCCCTGATCGACCATTCTAGGGTTAGCGGGGTAGCAGCAAAGCCCCCACTCAGAGCCCAAGACCTGAGGCAGAAGCCAGTGTTCCCCTTCCACCCCCCCTGCTTTCCACACCCGCTCCCCGTGACAACCGCCGCCCTGCTCCAGCTCTCACCTTGACAACCGCCTTCCGCACGCTCTGAACCTTCGCCTGGAACTCCTGCTGCCGCTCCGGGTCCAGAGAAAGGAGCGGAGCCGTCGGCGTCCCTTTGGAGCTTTTCTTCGATTCCGTGGCCGCCATGGCGCCGCGGTTAAGAAAGGAAGTGGCTTCGTCCCTTCACGGCGTGTTTAGGCTCCCGCCCCCGGAAACGGAAGTCCTCCTCCGTCACTTCCGCTAGGCCGGCCTCGCGCCGGAGAGACAGGAGCATTTCAGGAGGAATAAAAAATGGAAGGGCCACAGCGGCCTCTACTGGTCGGAGAATGAAAAACTCCTCGCCATAGCTTCTCCCCCCCCCAAAAAAGCGGTCGTGTGAAATGTCACGCTGATGCCTCGCTCACATCTATTGAGTGCACACAAAAAAACACACAAAGTGTTTCTCTGAGCTCATTGCAGAGAATGCAGTTCTCCAAGCTATCTTGTTTCAGCCTGGATTGGGAACAAACCCTATCCCATTGATTTCCATCCTGCACTTGAGTAGGTGCAGTTTGGGAAGAGGCAGCTGTGTTAGCCTGTGTAAGCGGATCGGGCAAAATCCAAAGGAAAAATACACGAGACAGAAACATGTTGTACGTATTTTAATGTGACCTTTCGTGGACATGCGGTGGGTTCTCAAGTTTCTGTTCGCCGGATCATTTCGAGTCCGACGCCCCGAATCTGCTACCCAGCTTTCTCAAAGGCAAAGATTTGTAGAAGCTGTATATACAGTATATATATTTTAAAAAATCGAACCCTTGTTAAGTCTAAGAGGGCCGGCCAACCGGAGCATTGCCCCAACGCCCCAAAATCTAGAGGGAAATCTACAGATGTTAGAAGGTACATAACAACGCCTCTTGAACGCATCAGTTTTCACATTAAAGTATAATACAGTAGTTTGTAAGGTGCCACATGTTTTAGTCTTCGTTTTTTGATTTTGCCTTTTTCTTCTTTTGTTTCTTTGGATTTTGCCCGATTTGTCTTCACAGGGCGCGGCTTGCCCAGGGTGACAGAAGGGCTCCGTTTGCCAAGGAGTCTCCTCTTGACTGCAAATTGTGCAGCTTAATTCTGCAAGAATTCAGCAGGAAGCGGACCCCACTGTGTTGCTCTCCTGAAACATGTGCGGTTTTTTGTTTTTTTTTGCACAAAAGTTCCCTAGTGACTTTGCAGAATTAAAACATGGTCACGATCTGGGAACATTCCACTCCCATATCTCTGAATTAAGTGCTTTACAACTCAACAAGAGTCCGTTGAAATAGCCATGTAACCTTGTAATCGCCGGGACCTTTACTCGGAAGTAAATACGTTCTCTCTAGTCTAGCAGGCGCATTCAAGGGGGCCACAAATTATTATGCGACCCATCTGCAATAAATATAGTAGGGCTAACTTTCGAGTAAGCAATCATAGTGTAATCCTCCGAGTTACCAGAGAGTAAGCCTCACTTGAACCTACTGGGGGCTGACTCTCGAGTAGACCATCCACAGCGCCTGGTTCACTTTCTCGCTCCGCCCCCCGCTACTCTGCAAACTGCAACCAAACTTAGTTTTAGTTGGCGCAGAAAAGAGGAAAGACCCCCCGCCGGTGACGACGACAAACCTATCCTCGAGGCGCCCTCGAAAACGGGCGCTCTCGATTGGCTCCACCCGTTCCCATTCTGACCCCCTCCCGATAGACAGGCGGAGAGGGGGAAAAAAAACTTCTCACTTTCTATTGGCTGGGGGCGAAAAAGAGGGCGGGGTAGACCAAGGAAGGTCGAGTTTGCGGTTGGGGCCGGAGAGTGCCGGGCGGTGCGTCGGTCGGTCGGGTGT